TCACTAGGGGTTGTCCAATAATTACGTCAACAAAGTAGGGGGAGGGGTTTTAAACTTTTTTGACAATTGTTGACAAGGGGGAGGGGTAGGTCAGTTAAAGTTGATGTCAACATTTTTTTTTTTTTTTTTTTTTTTTTTTTTGAGTTTTATTGTTTTTTTAAGTTGATTAAGGTACCCCAAGAAGTCTTTACGGTCTTATCACAGAACACCGCGGAAGAGCATTTAATAGGAAGTTCACGCCTCCTTCCGAACCGATGTCGCAAATGCTGTTCTTCTAAGAATAACAGGTTTGTCGCCTGAGATAACGCGTACTTTAGCAGAACGTACTTGGCCATCACTTGAACGTAGTAAACTTTGGATAACACCCATTTTTTAAACTGAACGTGGAACTTTTGGATCGTTTATCAATACAACATCGCCAGTTTTCATACTAAATCCCCAACTTCGATGTGTCACGTTTGTGCGTATTTCTCGTAAATTTATCAAATATTCATTTTTTCCATGTGTGCCAGTTATGATCCAAAATCGTTTTTTGGTGTAGGTATTTTTGTTTATTGTCGCTATTGCCTGTAGGTAAAAAGTTATTAAAACTCACAGACTCCAAATGTTTTCCGTCCAAATACGAAAAGATTTGGTGTTAGAGGTTCGTCGCCGGTTACTTCTTACAGAAATGTGATCAGACGGTTATTTATGACAACTTCGATTTCAGCCAAAATCGTTAACATTTTTTCCTAACTGACTCTTCATGTTTTATTTACCTTCTTAAGTGCTCTCTTGGTAGTTCGGATCATCCTTTCGAATATCCTTTCCCACCAAGGAGCAGCAGGAATATTGAAACACCAACGTATACGTTGTGAACTCGATAATCTTTGCGTTTCTTTTGCAGAGAAGTTTGAACCATTATCACTAATGAATTGAAGAGGTGCGCCAAAGCGACTAATAAAACAACAAAGACCACGAATGCAAGCTTTTGCTGTACAATCGGGAACCAAATCTAAATAAAGAAAACGTGTACTACAACGTGTAGAACAAATAAACACGCTTTATACATCACATTAGGTTCATAAATATTTTTTAAGCATGATTGGTCCGCAAAGATCTACTCCAACGTATTTAAATGCATATTCATCACTAACTCTAGATAGTGGTAAAGGAGGAGTGCTAGGATACTTAAACGGTTTACTGTCAAATCTTCTATAAATGTAACAATATCTAACTATATTTTTAATTTAGTTGCGAGTTTTTGACAACCAAAACTTAGTCTTTAATTCATTAAGTGTTTCTTTTACACCATGTTTAGTAATACAATGATAATGTAAAATAATTAAATTTGTTAAGTAACTTTTATTCGGTAAATATATAGGAAATAAACTGGAGTCTGTGTGTTACTAAGACGACCTTGACAACGAATAATCTCACCAACTCTAAAAAAATCTAAATCTCGTTTTAGTTGGTTGTAAGACTCACTATGATATATACCTTGAATAAATTTAATCCACAATATTTTTGCATTATTTAATTCAAAAGTAGTTGGAGTAGATAAATCATTATTAAATTCTTTTTTAATTATACAAATAAAACGTAAAACTAAAGCTGTAACCTTAAGAAGTCGATTGTATGTTTTAAATAAAAACATATGATCGCCTTATAAAAATTTCTTAATATTCATAAAATCTAAATTTACTATACAATGTTCTGAAGTAATTAATGTTGTAACTTCAGACAGAGAATCTCTCCGTGAATGTTTGCTTAAATCAAATGAAGGCCATGAAAATAAATTTTTGAATAAAAAACTAGGATTTTTAAACCAAATCTTTAAACAAAATCTTTAAACCAAAGATAATTATTTTGAAAGTTATTAAATTTATAACCACGAGATATAATAACTACGGGATTTTTGTCACTTTCAATATAATCTCCAAACTTAATATCATACAAAGAACGGATTTTTTTAAGACGCTTCTAAACAAACGCTTCGTATTTTTTATTTACATTGTTTACCCAATGATGACAAAAAATTGACTCAGAAAGTAACTCAACACAAGAAATGTTTAAAGCACTGTATAATTCTTTATATACAACTGAAAACAGATAAGCTAGTAATAACAATGCCATTAGTTTTAATTTAGGAATAGTAATAATAGGAATAGTTCTTAAATAAAGGAGAAACTCTTGATTTCGAAATAACTGGACAAGAATTCGCAGTTCCCTCATCGCTATTTCTTAAATAAATACAACACCCGTACGCTTTTAGGCTCGCATCACAAAAGCCATATAACTCAAATTTATTATGTTAGATTTTGTCAACACACTTATTATACTATCTTGGAACATAAATAAAAAGTACCGAACCCAAATCATTAATAATATCGTTCCATTCAATCAAGGTATCATCTCCTGTATGTGCATTCCACCCTAACTTTAACTGACAAATTGACTGAAATAACACTTTACATCTTACAATAATAGGATTCACTAACCCCAGAGGATCATAAAAACTTGCAATGAATCTAAGAATACTTCTTTTATTAGGTTTATTTTCATCTAAACATAATAAATCCTGAAAGGAAAAAATAAATTCATCTTCAATTTTATTCCACTTTAAACCAAGAACTTTTGTAACACTTGAATTTTTGAGCTTGAATTGTCCTCTTTAAATAAACTGCATAGCTCCTTTGAATTTGACTCGAACTTTCTAAGATAAAATTTTCCTTTTTTTAAACAAGATTTAGCTTTGTTATAAAACTTAAGTCCTTCGTATATAGAATCAAAACTCGCATTTAAATAATCGACATGTAATGATTGAATTAATTTTTGCTAAAATCAAAATTATTCGCAGCATAACGTTTAGCATGATTAATTAAGGTCGCAGATAATAAGAAAGGAGAAAAAGTTGCGCCAAACAAAACTCAACACAATCGATAAACACATAAATCTGCATTTTTTTTTAATATTATTGTCGAAATCAAATAAGTCTTTATACCATATAAATCTCACAAAATCACGATGCTTTTCAGCTAATGCAATGTTTAAAAATGCTTTCTCAATGCCAGCAATTAAAGCGATTCGCTTCGCACGATTCGCTTAAACGTAAAAGTATAATAAATAATGAAGTTGTTAGAGATGGTCCTGAAAATAAACAATTTAACGAAGGACTAGATGCGCAAGCACTTCCATGGAAAACTATGCGTGCTCTTGAAGTTAGCTTATCTTCACGTATTACTAGACGGTGAGGAAAATAGTGAACGTCACCAATATTACTTTCAAAATTCGAGACTTTCTCAATAATGCTTTTAGATAGTTGATCCTTAAATATATTATTGTAAGATGCTAACAAATCTCCATCGCTTTCAAATTTTTTCCTTAATGCTAAAACCTCGACTTACATATATTATAATTGTCACCTATCACCGAATGATCTACTTGAAATGGCAATTCAACTTCATACATGGCTTCATTAAATTTAATACTTTTCTGAAAATTTTCATAAATAGTCTTATCACATTCACTAATTTTAGAATCATCTTATATTAAACTTAAATAATTTTTAATTAAAATTTGCTCACTTTTAAAATTAGACGTGACCTTTAAAACATGAGAATATAAAACTGTCGAGTATTCAACTTGATCTCTATTAACTATAATTAGACCACATATTAAATATACTAATTTTGATTTTATTGCTACGGGACCGTCAACTCCCCTAATAATTGAATTTTTCATAAATTTCTAATACAAATTAGAACCTATTAAAATACCAACTGATAAATTACATGCTATATTATTATGTTGCCCACTCAAGGGAAAACATATATCTTTAACAAAACATTCAATGCTTATAAAATAACTACAAATACTTTTAATAGAAACTCTGACTCTATCTAAGACCTCAGAAATGCTATCATCCTTAAATGTTTTAATGTTAATTTCTTTACTATCAATATGTTTTAGATTAAATTTGGCACGAATCTGTAATGTAGCATAGTAACATTGCTTAGCTGCCAAGAATTGTCAAACAATATTCGGCGGGTAGAAAGTCTGGAATGATCTTGATTTTTAACAGTAGCTAAGGCTGTTTGTAACAAGTAGCTAAGGCTGTTTGTAACAAAACTTTCAGTCGGTTGAAGAACAGATTTAGAAGCAGAAAGAAAGGATGTACTCGCGACTGAAGTCAATTTGCCGTCATTGTTATTTTCTTTCGTATTGTTATAATATTTATCTCTGTTGTCACTGTCACAAATTGATACATGATGATAACGATTGCATTTAAAACACTTTAATTTTGATAAACACTTATTGCTGAAATGTTTATTACTAAGACAACAAAAACAGCAATTTTTATCACCTAATATTTTTTTCTAGCCGTAATGTTATTTACTAATTTACACTGATGCGATTTGTGATTATTTTCGCAAAATAAACACACAGGTTAATAAGACTCATTTATTTTTTACTTAAATTATCACTCGAATGAAAAGAACTAGCAGTAAAGGGTATACCCAGCCAACCAGTGTACATGGGTCCCGTAAGGGACTTATATGGGCTTGGATACGGGACCCATAAGGGTTTCCCAACGGGATCCCAGCGGGTGTTGTCCACGGGCCCCATATGGGAACCGTAAGGGTTGCCGCTGGGCTGCCCATAAGGCTCCCAGACATTTACCATTTGTTTGCCCTTACGATTCCCATATGGGCTCTGTCTGTTATTTCGCTGGGATTTCCATAAAGATCCCGTAAGTTTCCGATTTCTTTTCCACTAATTGGTCACATACGGTTTACTTATATTACGTGTTTTAATGTTTTTATACACAATTCAATCATACAATGTCTGTACGTAAACAAAAAATATTGAACTCTATATTTATTATTGTTTATGAACATGTGCAATTTACAAATGGATGTAGGCATAAATGCGTAAATTAAAGTTATTGATTACGCAAATCAGCTCGATATTTTGAAGACTTTATTAAAAAAAGTAACTCTTACATAAAATACTACCGATTTTGATAAATTTTTTCTTCATTTATAAAAAAAAGATTAAACAAAATACAAATCATATTGAAAGAGATCGGTAGATGCTTTTTTTGACCATCAATCTCAACTGAGAGCCGTCTTTGTAATTTTCGTGATTGCAAATCGACGACCATCAGTGCCACGATCTCTAGCGTTAGAAAACCATTTCGACAATTCAATTTCAATATCTTTAATAGTGCATTGTTTTGTGTTTGGGTTCAGTTTCACAGCACCTATGATTGCAATGAAACTACACTGTATTAAATTAATCAATTAAAGTAATCAATAATAACTAGGGTTATGCATAAATTTATATTACTTACTAAAAAAAACTTGGCAAAGCAATAGTGCTTTAAACGATTTCTTTCCTTTTTGCCCTGTCAAATTGAATTGGCGAGCAAGAAGGCCATCAAGTAGAACAGGCATCGCTCTCATAATAAAATTTCGAAGGCCTTCACCACCAATGTCCGATAAATGTTTTGCCTTAAAGAAATGACATAAAATAAAAAAGATGTAATTGTCACGTTCGATCACACTTCTTTTAAACAAGCCTTACTCGACAACATTTTAAACCGAAAAAGTTTTTTATAAAATGTTAAAAAACAAATTTTAATACACAAGTTAAGTTTAATTAGAATTAAAAAATTTAATCTTGAGCACATCAAGTGATGCGGCTAAAATAAGTTTAAAACTCTTATCAGTAAGAAATCAGCAAAAAAAAATATTTTATTTCTCCTTCCTGACTTCTGATTATTATATCATTACCCCTGATTGAGTAATGATATAATTAGTCCACCATCAGAGTTCAACCCACCCATGTTACTTTTTAAAATTAATCCTTACTAAACTTGAGTTAAATTTGTAAACTATTTTAAACTCACAAGAGTTTTTTTTTTCTCTGCGCAAAGTAACTTTTCCTCCAATGTGTCAACTTCAGCTATAGATGTCAGTGGCAATTTTATATCTTCTGGCAAATCAAATATTTCTTCTTCATTCACTCGCACTTTGTGTTTAATAGAATGCAGTAGTGATGTATGTACTTTTAGAGTTTTTTTTATCTCCTCAACATTGCTAACCAAAGTTGTTATCAAATTAAATATAGTTTGCAGGTTAGCAGTTTGACTTAAACCGGAGGCTAAATAAAAAAATTAATGCAAACAGTTATCTTTAACCAGTACTGCAGATTTAATAATGTAGCACTCAAAACAAACCTTTTTTTTTTGAATTTTTAAAACATTTGTATTTAGCCCATTCAGAGAATGGTTCATATTAAACCTTTTGAACTTTAGCAGTTTGTCAAGATTTAAAATAGTGTAAATTATGTTGTTACTTTAGAATTACCTGCAATAGTAGAACTCAACATTGGAACTGATGTTGCGCATTCAGGAGTTAAAGCAAAAGGCGGCGAAAATTGTTAGCTATTCCATATATTCAAGTCATTAAAATTTTCATCACTAATTAAATTGATAATAAAAACTAATTATACAAATATTTTTTCACCAGCATGTTACTTTTTAATTTACTTAACACACACATGAAAATTTTTAAAACATTACTAAAAGTAAGATAATCAATTTGAAGCTTTAATACAAATACTATCAAATTTTTTTGAAACATTCAGGGATCCATACCTTGCATGGTATGCATCTACGGCTATATACTTTGAGTGGTTTGGAAAGGTGGTAATAACATTATTTTTTAATGAAAATATCATTATGAAAAGTTTGAGCCAAATTTTTGCAACTTTATGAATTTCTATATCATTTATTTAGAACATTATATTAAATTATATATAAATAAATCTTGGTATACACACAAATAATGAAACTCACTGTTGCAACTGATGATCAACTCTGAATTTGCTGTTTGATGAGAGTTTGTAATAGGGTTGCTGGGGCTTTTTAATGACAAGAGTTGAATTTGCTAACATCTTCTTTCTTTTAAAATACAAAAATAATCTCAAACAATGTTAGTGTCTACAGGTAATAAATATAAATATATCTATAATTAAGGAAAAACAAAAAAACCAAACTTGTAAAAAAAAAATTACTTTGGTTCTACACTGTGCAATAGATCGTTTTCAGAATCCTCATTTTCACTTTCTCTGTCATAACTGATCTTTGTCACTCTAAAAACATCAATATAAAAAAGACAAGAACATAACATTTTTTTAAAATATAATCTGACATATTGATTGATTTACTATACAACAAAAAATAGGTTGAGCATATATTCATAAAAAAAACTATCATTGCTTTATTATATTATTAACAGCTCAATGACACAAAAGTTAAATAATCAAGTTTTTTAAAGTAAAATTATTGTGCTCATTTAAAATAAAATATTTTGATTTATTTATAGATAAACAAAAAAGTCATTAAATGCATACTGTCTTTTTTTGTTTTTCCTGAAAGTTCCTGAACTTTCTTCTGTCTCCTCAAAAGCATTTTCCAAACTAGATGTGTCTTCAGCTATTTTGGCTTTTTGACGAGCATTGTTCAGATTGTCTAAAAATTTGTTTCAAAATAAAAACTGATAAATAGTCATGTATAAATATACATTAAATGAAGAAAATAACCTATATGCAAAAAAAAATTTACCAGCTAATCCCAGCACCCTTGCTATGTAGAATGGCCGATTCACCTCTGCATCATAACTGTTATTTTTAGCTTTAGTAACAGTGTTGGGATTTTTGAATGGTGGCCAATGGCACTTTACTGATGTGTTATTTGTAATCATTAATTGGATATTATTAACATCCACTCCCTCAAGCCATTTTAATGGAACATAGTCTGTCTCAGAAGTGGTATCAAATGCAACAATTGCAAACATATTTTTACTCAATTAATTTTACTATAAACTAGCTTTAAGACTTACTTTAAGAACTTTAAATGTAAATTTAAAGTTCTTAACTTAAGGATTTTTATTTATTTTTTGTTTACACAAAAGTAAACTTTCAAACAAAAAAAACAAAAAAGATTTCCCACTATACTTTTTATACGATATGAAATAAGAAATGCTTTAAAGCTTTTAAATATAATAATTATGTATCTTTTTATTATAATGTTTTTATAATTAAAGTTTTTAAAAGTAAAGTTTCTATTAATAAATACTTTCTAAATAGAATTTTTTTCATAATAGTTGGAATTTTAAAAAAAACAACTTAAAAATAAAAAAAAGACAAGCACAACTTTCAAAAAAAAAAAAGTGATATATATATATATATATATATATATATATATATATATATATATATTATATATATATATATATATATATATATATATATATATATATATATATATATATATATATAAATGCCATTGAAAATGTAATAATACCAAAAAAAACATGATTATTAATAAATACTAAATATATAACAAACATTAATACATAAATTATTTATTATTTAAAACTCAAGTTTTTATACACAATATTAACTTTAGTAAAAATGCATTTGAGGGATTACAACAAAACCATTTTTATGTGGCAACAAATAATATTTAGTTCTTAATTTTTTCAAAGAATAAACTTTTACAAGATATGAAAGTTTTTCAACATAGAAAACAGACAGTAAAGATGAGTCGAGTGGATCTGTAAAAAAAGGCTCCTTACGCTCAAACTCTACATAAACAACAATAGCATCAGATTCATTTGAATCATTTTCAGCAAGAAAATTTTTAACTAAACAAACTTTGTTGTCTATTGCAAAGCAGTTGTTTCCATTTTCGTTAGAAACAAGAAACTGAGAACCAAAATATTTTTTATATTGTGAAAGGTGGCATAATGGCAATGGAACTGGACCTTTGAAGTGTATTTTTTTAAATTTAGATTTGAAATCAACACCATTTGTTTCAGAATGTTGTAGGTGGCCCTCTGACAATCTACATACAATTTGTGTAATTGGAGACTGTGGACTGCGAATTAATTTCTTAAGCCTTCCTAAATAACTTTCAAAAGGAAAAGAAGATATATTGTCTAGCACTCCAAATCTTCGAACATCATCTGGCAAGTGTATCAATGAATGGACGTTATACACACACTGGTAACTTCCATATAACATGCAAAAATCAGATACAAAATATTTTAATAATTCTTGTGAATAATCTACATAGATGTTGCATAAGGATGGACTAATAAGTATTCTAATAGCTACTGACAGACACAGAAAGTTTACATATAATTCTTTAGGCAAAATGCCTTTTAAAACAACGACACCAGAATATAAGAGAAATTGTCTTAGTTCTGTAGCCTTCCAATGTTTGTATTCCAATAGTGATCTAGGCTTGCGTGCAAATTCTCGAGGAGTATAAGTTTTTATTGAAACAAGTTTATTGGATATAAAATCTATTGTTGTCCTTGATAGTCGATAAGCAGACAAACCATGTATCCATTATCCATTGATTTATAAGTCTACGTACAACTCCTAAACATACCAAATGCATGTAATCTAGAGGAAATCCACTAACCAAGCCTATATTTAGTTGCAATACAGGAGATACGAACGAGATACAATGATGAGCAGGGTCTGCATTATTTCGGAAACCACTGTCGGTTCTCAAAACTGCAAATAAATTAGGCATAACAACTTTCCCAAGCCACTCTCCAGTTTGCACACACCTTTCACAAGAATTATAAGCATTGGGAGGTTTAATGCACTTTATAAAGGCCCGTGCTGGTGCATCACAAATAATTGCATCTAATTTAATAGAGTAACATTTGCCACTTTTTTTAAACCCTGTCTTCTCCAACATAATCATTTCTGAAACAAAATCTTCCATATATTCAGTAAGAGAAGTTGGTTTGCTTTTGCTAAAATAGATTGCAATCGGAAATAGACACCATCCTGTGTTTTTAACCGAGCAAAGTATAGGCCACATACTATTTGTTGAGCTTTTAAAAATTGGGACACCATCAATATTAATCTGCAAATTTAATTGATTTATGTTATTATTGAGAGGATATCTTTCCGTAAAAATAGAAAGCCAATACTGTAGGCTAAAATAGAAATATTCCCCACCAGCAACATTTCTAACGTTAACATTTCTACAAGTACTAAGCAATGCTCTTGCATCTTTTGGCAAATCAGGATGTAACTTGTGCAAAAAACCAAGCAAATTGGTACATGCTGTTTGAGAAATGTTATACTTTACTGCCCAAGAAACAAACTTATCTTTTAAAGTTTCACTTTTATCGAGTTCTTCAGTGTAATCAGTATCCTCTTCATCACTGTCATCATTAATTCGAGCAACCCATTCTGGTAAGTCATTAAACTCTTCAGTGTTACAAGAGTCATCGAGCAGATAATTGAGATCATCATTGGAACTACTCACATCAAGTAATGGCAAATAATTAATTGGAACAGTGGAACTTGAAATTTGTACCATATTTATTGGCAAATTAATACTATTTGCTTCAGAAACACATGTTGATACATGTGAGTCAGGTATACTTAAACATGCACTATTTAATATTTGTGAAACCACTACAGCTATCTTACGCTTTTTTGTACGTTGTGAATAAAAATAGCTCATTCCAAATAAACTCTATTATACATTAGTTTTAAATTTCTAAATGGAAAAAAATTATTAGTACAAGCTAAAAATCATTGTTTAATAATTACACTGTGCAGATAATTGCTTACCTGCATATTATAGGTCACACAATTTAGATAAAATAGGTAACAAAAACATATTGATTGAAATAGCAAACAAAACATATAGGTATTAAAAAAAGATAAAAGTAAAACGTAAGGACTGACATTAAAAACAATGGACAACTCTTTATGATTGATTAAGTTCATTTTAAAATCAGTAACATCAAGAAAAAAAGTCTTCTTTTGTATAACTCAATTTTATATAACTTTTTATTGCAGTTACAAAGATGGATGAAAAATATACAGCTATATACTTAGTTTCAAATAACCTATACAGACATGTCATTGTTTAGATTTATATTTTTAATTCAAAATGTTTTAACAAATAAAATATAAAAATCAGTCTAAATATACGGCCGATTCCATGAAAAATGTAAGTTAAATTTTATTTCGGTAATAAGTTCGCCCTCTTTTTGCCAGAATCGAAACACTTTTTAGCTTATTTTATTTTACAGAGTCTGAAGAATAAAAAGGTTTTATGTGGAATAGGCCATATGCAAATGCTTTTGTTCAAAATTAATCAAAAATATAAAGAACTTTTAAATTACTTTCAATTATGCAATATAAGAGTTGGCTTTTTTACTTTGATAGTTTAGGTACATAAAGTAGAAATATTCATATTATAAAATTAGAGTGAAATCTGTTTATTGTAAACAGTCGTGAAAATTTATTCATCAAAATTTGAGTAACATAACATAAAAGCAATTCTAAAAGAAATTTAATTCTTTCATTAAAGGTTCAATTGCACCTTTTTATCAAATAAAAGAATTTAAAAAAATATGATATAGGTTAAGTTTCACAACAAAACTAGGTAAATTGCTTAATTTATGAAATAGGTATAAATTTTAGGTGGTAAAAGTGCGAATCAGCATTGTGCAAGTCAATTTTTCAATTGATTTTTTTAGAGTTTTGCTAAAGTTTTGTTAGGTAGTTTATGTCAACTAATTTGATTTACCTAATTATATCTGACTAAACCCTATAAAAATATTATACTTAAATTCTATCTGGGAGTCATTTTACTGATAAACATTAATGATATGCTTTATCAAACACAAAATCTTATATTGAGACTGGATGTATTATTGAGCTACTTTGTCCTTAAAGTTAACAAACTAACAGCATGCAATTTATACAATAGGATATACAATATTACACCATTAACAACATAATACAACATTAGTTTATCCAACTATAGTTACTAACTTTTTCTTCGCAATTTACAGAAGAAAAAGATAGATTAGTATTTATTTACTAATTTATTACTGCTCTGTTATTTAAGATCATTAAGCAGGGATTATGTAAGTTACACTAACACACTTTACATATATAATATATATTTTTTTGTAATCTTTTTTTTTCAAGTGTGTGTGTATATATATATGTGCACATACGTGTATATATATGTGTATGCATATATGTATATATACATATATATATATATATATATATATATATATATATATATATATATATATATATATATATATATATATATATATATATATATATATATATATATAAACACACACACACACACACACACACACACACACACACACACACACACACACACACACACACACACACACACGCAATGAGTTGCATAATTATTTGGTTTTGAAAATTAGAATTGTTGTAATAATAATAAAATGTTACCTTATAAACCAATTTACTACGATCTTTCTGAAAATAATGTATAATATTTTATTTAAAAACTCACTTTTTAATTTCAGTTTTAAAGATTAATTAACAACATTAAATCTTTTAAAAACAATTCTTCACATAAAATACATAAAAATCAACTGCTTAAGTAAGGATTTAAAGCTAAATGACTAAATTTAGCTTTAATGTGCTTCAATAAAATTAATTTACCATGCTGCATGGTAAGTTAATTTTAATGAGGCTCAGCCAAGTAGTTGTCATGATGTAATCCATGAAAAAAGTTTAAAAAGAAATCTTGATAATGTAATTAAATTAACGCATGAAAAGATAGACATCATAATGGTAGACATCATTCACTAAGTTATTTACAGGAAACAATTATTTCCTGTTATTAACTTTGTGAAGCATTATGTTAATGCATAACTTGTGAATGCATTATTTTAAATACATTACTTTGTGAATGCATTATTCTACCTTTCCGTGACATGATCCATGCCATGGACCATGCGTTAAATGCCACGCTATGGACCATGCGTGAGTTTAATTATTTTATCATAATCTTTATGAAATAAAACAATCTTGATAAAGTTTATCTAGTTTATTAAAGTTATCTTTAAAGAAAACAAAC